TGAACCAGCCGGCATTCCTAGAAGGGAAACGTCAGGACTGTGGTTAGGCTGTCACCTCCTTCTTTCCCACGTGAGACAACATTCTCACCCCAGTAAAATCGGCAACATCGACATCTCAAAACTATGTCTTCCAAGTGCCTAGCTCCTACTCCTCACTGCAGATTTAAAAGCCGCGTCTCTTTACACAGCACCACGCACAGCCAGCCTCCCAACACCCTTGCAGCCCCGGCAAGAGGGAGGAGGCCTGGTGCTCCGCGGATGGGGACCTTCCCATTTCGGGGACCCTGTGGGATTGTTCCTTCAAGCAGTGCTTTTTCAAGGAGAATTATAATCAGTCACTTCAATATGAATTTGGGTATCACATGGCCAAAAGCTGTGACCGGGTAAAGGGGTGGGGAGATAGGCTCTGAAGCTGGGTTTTGGAGCAGAAGGGCGTTTCTTTAGGAGCGTGAACTTGCTGGGACCGCCTACAGACAGGCTCAGAATGGCTCAGGAGAGGGAGCACCAGGGCCAAATGTAAGACCTGTCAGGGCTCACAGTGGAGGTCCGCTATCCCCTGGGCCCTGTCTTCCTAGTATCTGCTCCTAAAGACCCTAAAATACAGAGGAAGGGTCGAGAGTAACCGTAAACAGAATCCGTAGTTACCATGAAATTCAGCTTCCATGCCTGCTCCTCCCCCATTTTCTTGGTCTGGAAATTCCTACTCAGAGGTCCAGCCAAAAGCCAGCTTCGCAGAAACAGCCCCACCCAAGCACCCCATTGGGCTGAGATGAGACCCCTCCACCTGCTCTCAGAGCGCTCTGTCTCCTTCATGCACCGGGATCCCTGAAATTAAGCCCAGCTTGACCCCTGAGCCTCTGGCAGAGCCCAAAGAGCCATCCGTGGCCTCCATGGGCCACCTCTTCTGGACCTGGGGACAGGGCCCTGAGCCCCGATACTTGGGAGCCCCCCGACACCCCACGCCACTGTCCAGAAAGGCTCCACAGGAAGCTACTGAGGAGGCACATGAACCACTGCCCTGACGGCCAGAGCACTCAGGCCCTGACACCGCCTCCCGTGTTTCCTGAACGCTTTTCCCTGGAATGGCTGTTTCTGGCCTGAGGCTGGGCTCAGGGGCCCTTCCTCTGTAGAGCTGAGCTGTCCAGGACCACAAAATCTCACAAATGACTCTCTTTTGCTGTGCAAGAAAAGCTGACCCACACCTGAGTTCAAACCTTTCCCTCACTTTCAATCTTTCTCCAACATAGAAAGCTCACGAAGCATGTCCCTTCCCCGGCAGTCTCTCCACACCCGCGGTCTCTGACAAGTCACTTCTCAAGCAGTAAATGAGCACTCGACCAGCCCCACCCCGTCCCGTCTCAGTCTCCAGGTCAGAAAGCATCAGCTATACCCATGAGAAGGACTCTCTCTCCAGTAAATGTGAGGTGAGTTCACGGAAAGCGTCTCTCATGAACTCGTTCCGGATCTGTGGACCTGCAACTACTAGCTGGTGCTTTTCCAATTTTGATGCTTGCCTACCCAAACTGTTGGCTTCTCAGCTGCCTCAGGAGGTGAGACAACAATGCAGACAAAACGGAGCAAGGGGCTCTCGATGCATTACTCTGCAGAGTCAACACAAGACAGGCTGCAGACCCATTAGTTTAAAGATTATTATGGTCATACAACCAGGGGATCCAAGAAACCTGACCAAGAAATTTTCCTTATCAATACTAAGAGAAACATGTCATTAATGTATTGTTTTTTTGCCAATTAATTTTTAACTTTGTATTTATCCTGGAAATTTCCAAGCAGACACAAAGATACAAAGAAAAGGAGAAAGAAATCCTATGTTCCTGTCATCCAGCACCAATGATTATCAACGTTGGCAAATCTGTTCTCATCTCTTACCTCAAACACATGCACACATGCAGATTTGTTATTTTAAAACAAATCCCAGACGTGGGGCATAACCTTCTACCCACAAACACTTCCATTGGGTGGGTGTCACCCTCGGGCTGCCCCATTTCCCTCCCTCCCCACCCCAACTCCCTCTGATTTCTTCCAGCAAAATGCACTCCCAAGGGAAGGATCATGTGATGGTTCACGTGAGATTGCAAGTATGTGACAAGACGTCTATGTTTTTCCTTCCAGAGATGTTTCATTTTAACAGGACATCTGAAACCTTGGTTAAAGCAAACAAGTGGGGCATGTGCTAGATTCTAAGGAAAGAACAGTTTGCATTATGCAGGACAGTGAGCCCCCTCTGAGTCCAGAGGCAAGTGCTGATGGGCCAGGCCCTGCCTGGCTGGACTCCTGTGGCCTCCGGGGCCCACTTGGTCTCTGGCCCTATGGCACTTAGAATATGCAGAATTCCACCCCTGCTACAGCCTTGCTACTTCCCATGCTGGTGGAAGGGAAATGCGGCTCAGTGGTCTCCGCCAGTCCACAGGCCCACTTTGCTGGCATCTGGCCTTCACAGACCAGCTCAGCCACCTCAGGAGGGCGAGGAGGACAGCCACTGTCCAGACCTGCCCATTGCGGCACAGCCTTCTGGAGGCTCCTCTCTTGCCCCTGCCCACTCCGTGGCCAAACCACTGGAGGGACACCCATTTCTCCCACTATGAACTCTTCAAGTGAAAAATGAGCCTTCTCCCCTCACCCCAAGAACTAGAACAGAGAATAAATAAATGCACATGGGACTAAATCGTTCAGTGAGGCTAATCAACATTGATGATTCTGAAAATCTGGTTCTCATTAGGCCCTTTATTTTAAGACAAGACTAGCGTGCATAGGACTGGTGGATAGAGGATTCACAAACTTCATCACCTACACCCCTGTGCACATCTTACCCTGTGCTGAATGGCAACCGAGCCGGTGGATTCTTTTATTTAAAAATAAGTAAAGTTGGGCTTCCCTGGTGGCCCAGCGGTTGAGAGTCCGCCTGCCGATGCAGGGGACACAGGTTCGTGCCCCGGTCCGGGAAGATCCCACATGCCGCGGAGCGGCTGGGCCTGTGAGCCATGGCCGCTGAGCCTGCGCGTCCGGAGCCTGTGCTCCGCAAATGGGAGAGGCCACAACAGTGAGAGGCCCGCATACCGCAAAAAAAAAAAAAAAGTAAAGTTTTCTAAGAATGAACATTACATTCTGAAACCAAAGACTGAGGCCCAACACACAGCTTCTGGTTTAACAATAACCTGTGAGTCATCTGCTGGTTCTGTTCCCCTCGGAAATGTTCTGAGGGAGAGAGGGCCAAGAAGAAACCTCAGCTTTTTCTTCTGAGAGAGGGTTCCTGGTCCTGAGGTACATGGTGACAATATGAGGGTCTGAATGGGCCTGAGAGGTAAATGAGACAGAGCCACCTGGCAGGTCACAGCCTGCAACGCCTGAGATGGCTGGCAGGCACGTGTCAGGAGACCCAGAGGAGTTGCAGGTGAGACACCCTGGCCCTGCTCGACAATGCCTGGTCAGGAAGTGGCAGAGACAGGTGCCTCTTCATTCAAATGATTTTCCTCTGCAAACCAGACCTGGTCTGGAAGACACCAGACTATAGATGTAGAGCAGACAAATCTAAATTCGATATGTGATGAGTAAACAATAACTGCTACTCATAACAACAATAACAAATGTTCTGGAGTCTGCTTAGTGCAGTGCTGACAGAATCAGTCTCTTCACTCATTAGCCTATGAATTTCTCCAAATTAGCATCCTGATGCCATTGACTAGAGAATCCAGAGGGTTTTCTTTTCTATTTCCAGAGGACCTCAACCCACTGAATTAGATATCAATTAAAGAGGAGCATCACACATCCCTTGAGAGGCTTTCCAGGTTAGTCACAGCAACCAAGAATCACATAGGAGAACGTGGCTACCTGCTCAGTAAATCCCCAAACCCTTCTGCATTTCTCGTCAGTTGTGAAGGTCATAGGGCTCAGGAAGATGAGGAAGCACTTTATGGGGTGTGTATTGTACACCAGGAATGCTAGAGGCCAACCCTCGCAGAAATCAGTGTTCTCCTCAGGCCACTGGAGGGGGCTCTGATGTCAGTGGCTGCAGGGCCCACCCCCCTTTCAGGGCCACCTGCCACCCTGCCTGACACTTGTAGGTGCCTAGGAGGCCCAGGAGGGAACTTGCAGATTTTGTACCCAGGAAAACGGAAACAGCAACCATTCCCCAACCTTCTTCTAAAGTATCCCCATGTTCTCTCCTTCCGACCCAAGGAGCAGAGCTTCAAAGGTACCCACACACCGTGAACAGACCTTAAGGCATTTCCCCATTTTCATAATGAGTAGCCACAAAGACAGCTAGAAGATTCTCTGGAAACTCTGAGCCTGGGCACATGAAAACCTTAGCATTTTGGAGCTGGAAGAGTCACCCCACACACTCTGTTCATGATGATGTGCTAAGTGATGGCCCGGTGAATCCAGGGTGGAGCCCAAGGGCACAACACATAACACAACCAGTGGCAGGGTGCCTACCCCACAGCCGTCGGCCCCGTCTCCTTCGACAGCATCAGAGCACCTCTCGGGGGACCATCAGGGTCAACCCCAGCACAGCCTCCTCCCTCTGCCTTCCCTTCCAAAGTTACCACAGGTCTGTGGTGCAAGAAGCCAATCATTTACGTGGACAAAGACACACACACACTGCTGTGTAGGGTTCCGACACTGGACTACACTACAACTATAACAGCAAGACAGTTATTTATTCTAATCATAGAATAAGATCCAACAAATCGTAGGTGAACCTGGAACTTGTTAATGTCCAAATACCTGCACAGATGCAACAACTGCCACCCTTGAAATAAAAAAAAGTGAAAAATCTATCATTTACCCAGATTTCTAGTGCAGTGACACTGAGGAACGAGATACTGGAACACCTGCTTTGCTGGCAGATCACCCTGCTCAACGCACAGAAGGCGCCACCTCAGGGCAGCAGCTCAATCTGGCCGCTGAGTGGAGCTGCAGCGTCAGTGCTGCTCCCTTGTCTGGGACAACCAACGACAATCTGCGCAGAGCCTCAGAGACAAGGCAAACAGCCCTGTGCTTCCTGATCCACATCCTGCTGAGATGAAAGCTCTTGAAGATGGCCGTCTGCACATTCAGACCCCATGACAGAACCTTCCAGGGCAGCAGAGCCGACCTTCCCGGCCAACAGGCTTGAACAGAAAGATACGTTATTTACCTTTCTTGTGAGGGGCACCTCAATGGGCACAGGCACAACTTCGGCCAGCAGGCAGCCGTAGAAAGCCACCATGGAGGCAGCAGGGTCATTGTTGGGGAACACCAGTGCCACCTGGACCAACACAGAGAGAGAGGGATTAACCACTAACACGATGCCACTGGAAAAAATTTAGATGCCCTGCTTGAAAAATGCATATTAGTAAGATGCATTTTAATAAGTTATCAGATGCTTTTCCTTGACCTCACATGGAAGGCAAACAGATTATCCGGGTAATCTCTGACACCGGCACCAGAATGCAACTACCCTTGCTGTTTACACTCCCCCATTGGCACATATTTTTACACAGGTGAAACCACAGTGCATATACTATCTGTCTCTCGCTATTCTCACTGGGCTCTGAAGTGCATCCTCATACGTCTGCAGTCTTCACCATCGTAACTGAACGCTGTGCACTTCCTCCCTAAGGTGCTGGGCTCACAGCTGACTCTACTCTGATCCCAGCTCAGATTTAGCTCCCCAAGCCTTGACTTACCTGAAAATTGAGAATATTAGTGTCCTAGCGTTGTAGTAAAGGTCAAATGAGAAAATGTATGCAAGAGATCACACCGTGCCTGACACACAGCAGGTAGCCACGAACCACAACTGCCCACGAGGCCCTGGCCCTGAGAGCCGGCGCTCGGTCAGCCTGCACCTGCGGCATCTGGCTTTCTGCCCTCCCAGGGAAGGTTTCCGTGAACACCTGGCCACACATCTCCAGCCGCTCATTGCCTCTCCAGCTCAGCCTCTGAAGAACCAGGAGTACAATAATCATGGAGTTCTAAAAGGTAAATTTAAATTACTATCCTAATAAGCCAATAACGGATAGTATGATTTTTCAGATGTTTTCTGATAGTCCTGAAGGGAATCTTAATGAAGAACAATTTTCCATCAGATGGCTTAAAATTATTCGTCCTTGTATGAACTGTGTTTCACTTCCTTTGCCTATTTATCTGCTAGTGTTTTGACATTTCCCATAAAATCTTTAAATATATTTCATAGTATTAACTCTTACATTGGATGCAGACTTCTCGATATAATATTCTCTGTTTTATTTTTCTTAGTGTATTTGATGTTGCATGTAAACTTGTCAAGTTTTTCCTTTATGTTGTCAGCTTCATCCCATTTACATCCACCTGGCGCTCAGGTTAGCATCTGCTGTGGAGCTAACGCAATGTCGATCCGCTTGCTCTCCTGTTGCCCGATGCTCCTTCTGGAGTGGCCCTTCCTACTCTACCTCTAGAAGCTGCCTTCCGGATACAACAGGCAGTCCTATTTCTGGGTCCCCACTGAGCTCTGCAGGACTCTGCTTCCACTTTAACACAAGCTTCTCCCATGTGTTGCTCCAGCATCGGCACTGCTCTTCCTTGTTGATAATTAAGCACATAAATCCCATGATTTAGCAGATGTATATGATTTTTGTATTACTTCATTCAGGAATTTAACATATTTTTTTCTTTAAAAATGCCCTAACTAGAAGTTATTAACTTTGTCATGAACAGTTGGATAAGACATCCTAATTACCTCAATATCTAAGTAAGCAGGTTGGCATAAAGGACTCAGATGACAGCTGAGGATGGAGCAGGCTGCATCTTAAATTTGGCTCTGTTAGCAACACAGGACAGTTGATGGAAATAAAATTAAGTTTGGAATTATGTGAAGATTGCCTTTCTATATGGTATTCCTGCAGTTTACTAAAATCAGCCAAACAAGAGACAAATGAAACCGTTAAGGCCAATAAAAGCCATTCTGCACTACTGAAGAATTTTAAGAAACCCTGTGAAATAACTGTTGATTAGATATTAATCCTTATTTTGTCCCAAAAGCATCCAGACAGATGCCAGGCTACTATAAGTAGGATTTCAAAGGAGGAATAAAAGGATTTATTTGCATGTCTCTGCATATGAACCACAAACAATTATTTTAAAAATGATCTGAGGTTTGCACTGGCCTCAGGTGTCTGCCTTCAACTGGTGGTCTGAGAGTTGACAGCATCTGTTTTTAGTTCTGGATCTGGCAAAGCAACAACATTCAATCAAATGTTTGCAAAGCTTCCAAGGCACCACTGCTGCAAGACTGCTCTCCTTGAACCAAAACAGAGGATGTTAAGAAAATGCAGAAGATGGTGAAGTTCCACCCAAAACTACTGGCTGCACCCACTCATAGAGGACTAGTTAAATTCGGACTTGTTAGTCCTCCTAGGACTAACCTATTCCACACGCAGGAGTCTTCAAGAGCCGAGAGATAGAACCGAGAGAAAGAAGGTGCTGCTTCCAGAGCCAGACTGTGGATCAACGTATTTCCAAAGAGGAGCTTCTGGTCTGGCTCCTATCCCAGCTCTGTTCCAAGGAAGGGCAACTTGATGCAGGATTTAAAATTCCCACTGCTCGATCACTAAAGTTCATGCTGATAATGCCATATTATATAACCTTGCAGAGTTGGGTTAAAACAGGATGAAATGTTATATTAATGTAAAGTGAATAAAAGCAGAATATAAAATTGTGCATTATATGCTCTCAAAAATATAAAAGTAACAAACAGAAAATGGTCAAATAGCTAAAGGCTCATTTAGAATCAAAAGTGAATTTTTAAAAAATTTGTTTTAAGGAAGGGAAGACTGTATTTGTACCATTCTCAGCAAACCTTCCTTTTATATCTCAATCAGTCACAAGTCCTGTTTTTTTGGTGACTACACAGTGATTCCAGGGCAATACTGTACAAATATACAGATGCTTCATTTTCATAAACCCACATGGCTCCTTTTCATTCAACCCCCTGTGCATTCTCTGATGTTTCGTCACACTTAACTACGCACAGAGCGCCAGCAGGTCGCCGCCTTCCTCCACTCTCCTCCGCTGGCCTTCTTGTAACAGCCTTTTGCTGCCCCAGCGCCCGGCTTGTTCTGTCCACATACCACACAATCCCCCCTCAGCTCCTTTCCACGCTCTGTCCTACAACCTGACCAAGAGCCACGGGCTGGCTTTTTCTCCTCAAGAAGTCTTCTCAGATGCCAGAAGCTCCCAAAATGACAATATTCTCTGTCCTTCCCAAAGAGTTCAGCTGTATCCCTCACCACCTATTCTGGGGACCTGTATCATTTTCCAATTTACAGATAGCCAATTATCAATGTCTTTATTTTTTTTTTTTTTAACTCTGCAAGCTCCCTGAAGGCAGGCTCCACATATGATGCATCTTTGTTTGTTCCACAGCTCCCACTATAATATCCTGAAAACCTATTCAGCTTAGGCACATAAATGCCTTTTCAAAGCCCAAGCAGGACTCCCCAAAGTGCATTAATAGGGTCACCCACATGAAAAGCGTCTATAATTTTTATGCTAAGGACAGAATGTTCATTATCCTCGGAAAATTATATTTAATTAAAAATGATTTTCAAAGAGGTAAAGAATCCTGTTTATTGTGACAGAAGGCTATTATCAATTGAATACTACAGTCACATATGCTTATTTAATAAGTATTTATACGCACATGCCAGGTGCCAGCCATATGAAAACTTTTTAAAGGAATAATTTAGAAAAGTAGTCCCACCTCATACAACTCAAACCACCCCCTGCTAAAGAAAATCTTTTTACATATTTTGTTCTATCAAAACTTGCCCCCCACATTCCTACTGACTTCTTAGCAGAACACAGATGGTTTATTTTATAATTGCTATTGTAAAGGAACTTCAAGAGTCTGAAGGCCAAAGACCTTTAAAAAAAAACTACTAAGACTATTAACCAAATTATAGATAAGGGAGATATATTACAACTGACTTTTTTTTATCGTGATAAAATAAATATAACAAAGTTCACCATCTTGACCATTTTCAAGTATACAGTTCAGTGGCATTAAGTACATTTACACTGTTGTAAAACCATTATCAACCATCCATTTCCAGAACATTTTCATTTTCCTAAACTGTAACTCTGTCCCTATTAAACAATAACTCCCCATTTCCTGCTTCCCACAGCCCCTGGTAACTATCATTCTTCTGTCTCTAGGAATTTAAGTACTCTAAGTACCTCATATAAATGGAACCATACAATATTTATCCCTTGTGACTGGGTTATTTTACTGAGCATAATGTCCTCAAGGTACATCCATGTTGTAGAATGTGTCAGAATTTCCTTCCTTTTTAAGGCTGAATAGTATTACACCATACGAACATACCACCCTCTGTTTATTCATTCACCCGACCATGGATGCTTGAGTTGCTTCCTCCTTTTGGTTTTCGTGAATAGTGCTGCTATGAACATTGGTGTAGATATATCTGTTCAAGTCCTTGCTTTCTATTCTTTTGAAATTGAAGTGGAATTATTGGATCAGATGTTTAATTTTTTAAGGAACCACCATAGTACTGTTTTCCACAGTGGCTACACCACTGTATATTCCTACCAGCAATGCACAAGGGTTCCAATTTCTTCACATTCTTGTCATCACCTACTACTTTCTGTTTTTGATAGCAGCCATCCTAATGAGTGTGAAGTGGTAGCTCATGTGGTTTTGACGTATATTTCCCTAATGATTAGTGATTCATGGGCTTATCTGGCTATTTGTAAATCTTCCCTGGAAAAAGGTCTTTTCAAGTCCTTTGCCTGTTTTTTAAACTTTTTTTTTTGGTTGTTGTTGTTGAGTTGTAGAACTTCTTTATATATTCTGGATACTAATCTTTTATCAGACATATGATTTGTAAACATTTTCTCCCATTCTGTATGTTTCTTTTTCACTCTCAAAAGTGTCCTTTGGTACACAGAAGTTTTTAATTTTATACATTTATTTTATTTATTTATTTTTGGCTGTGTTGGGTCTTCGTTGCTGTGCGTGGGCTTTAGTTGCAGCAAGCGGGGGCTACTCTGTTGTGGTGCGTGAGTTTCTCATTGCGGTGGCTTCTCTTGTTGCAGAGCACGGGCTCTAGGCTCACGGGCTTCAGTAGTTGTGGCACACGGGCTTAGTTGCTCTGTGGCATGTGAGATCTTCTCAGACCAGGGCTTGAACCTGTGGTCCCCTGCATTGGCAGGCAGATTCTTAACCACTGCGCCACCAGGGGAGCTCAGAATTTTAAAATTTTGATGAAGTGCAATTTATCAATTTTTTTATTCCCTGTTCTTTTGGTGCCATATCCAAGAAATCATTGCCAAATCCAATGTCATGAAACATTTCCCCTATGTTTTGTTCTAAGAGTTTAGGTCTTTAATCCATTTTGAGTTAATTTTTTAATATATGGTATAAAGGTTCAATTTTGGGTTTCTGCTGATGGATATCCAATTTTCCAAGCACCATTTGTTGAGTGGACTATCCTTTCCCTCATTTAATGTCTCAGCATCCTTCTTGAAAGTCCCTTGACCCTACATGTAAGGATTTATTTCCGGGTTTTCTATTCTATTCCTTTGGTCTATATCTGTTTTTGTGTTAATACCACACAGCTTTGATTGCTGTAGCTTTATAGTAAGTTTTATAATGAGGAAGTGTGAGGCCTATAATTGACTTTTAAAAGCTAAAGGTCAAACTTGTTCATTAAACTGGAAAGAATCATAGCCTACCACAGAATCCTGGGGCTGCAGCAATCTTATTAAAAATTCCCCATAATGGGCACATGTTTTTATAATATCTCTTAAGTAAATCACAGCTTATATTCTTTTTGGTTTATGGTGCTCTAAAATGATATTTTTATAAAATTAATTTGGAGTCCTTTGGGTGCAGGTGGGTAACCTAGTCTTGGGGCATTCTGAGGTAAATAGCAACATATGGAAAAAAAAAATCACTCCATTTAAGGCAAGAAAACTAGGTTCTACTCTCAGCCCCACATCTTAATTGGGGTGTAAAGCTTGGGCAAAATTATTAACTGCTCTGGGTGTAACATTAAAAAGTTAATACTAATATCTGTTCTCAGTAACTTAGCAGATTGCAGTAAGAATAAAATTGTGCTTTTCAATGAAAGACAGTAGCCTATACCAAGAAATTTAACACTAGGAAAGGAACAAACCAGCAGTTTGCTGCCAGGATTTTTGATATCACTGACTAATACAAAAAAGTTCTAAACACAATTGTCCTGCCTACTCAGCGAGACAGTGCAAGTACATTCCAAACTAGGGGACCACATATGTCAGGGGTTAGGAACACAGGTTTTGTGGTTGGACAGAAATGGATATGAGCACTGGCTATACCACTTTCTAGCTATGTGCCTTCAGCTGATATGATTCTTACCCTCTCAAGTCCTAATATCCCCATGGATAAAACAGAACTACTA